CCGGCATCCATCATGGGCGCCGGTTCACGTCCCGGCTGCTCCTCTTCTGATCCATCTTTGTGCTTGGCTGGGAAAGCAGTGCAGGATGGCCCAAGTGCTTTGTCCCTGCACCTGCGTGGGAGACCCGGAGGAAGCTCCTGGCTCCTGGCTTCAGATCAGCTCAGCTTTGCCCATTGCGGCCATTTTGGGAGAAAACCAGCAAATGGAAGACCTTTCTTTGTGTGTCTCTCTCGTTCTCCTCTCTCTCTTTCTCTCTCTTTCTGTGTGTATGTGTGAGTATATAACAATGTCTCTCAAAAATATATAAATAAATAAGGAAGATTTGAAACATGCTTCAACACGTATGATCTAAGGACACAGGCTAAGGGAAATCAGGCATCTATGGCTCTGCCTGCATGACATGTGCAGTGCAGTCAGACCCGAGAGAAGAGAGAGGCACGGGGACCAGGGAGAATGGGGTTGGGGTCCTGGGTGTGAGTTGTCCTGGTTGGGAGGATGAAGAAGCTCCTGGGACAGATGTGGTGATAGCAGCACAACAAGGGAATGGATTTAAACGCCACTGAACCACGTCCTGCAGAAGGCCTGAAATGATAAAAAAAAGTGAGATTTATTTATTTAGGGGCTGCACTGTGGCATAGTGGGTGAAGCCGTCCCCTGCAGTGCCGGCTGCCAATGTGGGAGCTGTTTCAAGACCAGGCTGCTTCACCTCTGATCCAGCTCTCTGCTGTGACCTGAGAGAGCAGCAGAAGATGGCCCAAGTGCTTGGAAGCCTTCTCCTTTGTGGGAGACCCGGAGGAAGCTCCTGGTTGCTGGCTTCAGATCAGCGCAGCTCCAGCCACTGCAGACATTTGTGGAGTGAACCAGCGGATGGAAGAACTCTCTCAATCTCTCTCTCTCTCTCAATATCTTTCTCTCAGTCTCTCTCTCTCTCTGCCTCTTCTTCTCTCTCTGTTTAATTTGGACTTTCAAATAAATAAAAAAACTTTAAAAAAAGTTTTATTTACTTATCTGAAAGCCAGAATGAGAGAGAAGAGAGAGAGAGAGAGATTGAGAGAGAGATTGAGAGATTGAGAGAGAGGTCTTCCATCTGCTAGTTGACTACCTAGAAACAGCCAGGGTTGGGTCAGGCTGAAGCCAGGAGTCAGCAGCTTCTTCCAGGTCTCCCACATGGCTGAGGGGCCCAAGCACTTGGACCATCTTCTGCTACAGTTCCCAGGCCAGACCAGAGAGCTCGATTGAAAGTGGAGCAGCCGGGACTCGAACCAGCGCCCAATTAGGATGCAGGCATCACGGGTGACGGCTTTACCTGCTATGCCACAACCCTGGTCCCTGAAATCATAAATTTTATTAAGCGTTTTATAGACACTGGTAGTAAATCACAGAGAAATGGGAGCTGGGGGCTCACATTCAATGGAAGCCCCATTGCAGGGAGAGACTGCGGAACCTGGGCCATCATGTCCCCCAGGGAGCCCTCAGAGTTCCTGCCAGGGACCTCCTGCCCCAGTGCTCACAGGAACACCCAGACCCCGGGGCTGTCGCCGTCCCCATCCTCCTCTCGCCTTTCCGTTTTGTCAGTCGTACGAAGCAGGCCGGCATCTCCTAAGACCGGAACGGAACATTTCCTAATCACGGTGCAAACCCGTTGGGCTCAGATACCGCATTGTGTTCAGATTTCTCTGTGCCCAGAAAGACACTGGGTGGCTGGTGCTTCACCACGGCGGAGATCCCACAGCTGCGAGTCCGTGGTGATCCGTGAGTGACGGGGACTGGCAGCACAGGCTGGCCCTTCCTCTGTCTGGGCAGCACCTCCCGCGGGCGTATCTGCACCACGTCCTCCTCGGGTTGGGGGGCAGAGGAGGGCGGCACCCTCGGGACAGGAAGCAGGTGCAAGTGCGCGCTGGACCCCGTGTGGCACAAATCCCCGTTCTTTCCCATGACAGAGTCTTCCGTGGCTGTCTCACTCTGCAGCCGCCAGGCTGGGGCCAAGGGGCCATCTTCCCTGTCCCTGTCTCTTGGCCGCTCAGCCCAGCCTCCCCACGCTGTTGTCGCTCTCCCCCACAAGGGGGAACCTCAGGGCTCCTGGCGCTTCCTCACCAGCTTCCTCTCAGCCTCTCAACATCTGGACAGGTGGAGCTGACCCACAGCGAGTTTCCATCGCTAGGATGGAGGGAGAGCCGTGCACGCTCAGGAAAGTCTCCGACCTGGAGTTCCGTCTCCTCTCGGGCCGGCTTCCTCCTGTGCTCACAGTGCCCGTGAACCCGGCTCCACGGGGTCACGTGCTCACGAGGGCAGACACCAAGAGTCCCGTGGTGCTGGGCGGGGGTTGCACTGAGCGCATCCTCACGTTCCCGCGTTCTAACCTGGAGTGGACCTGCCGGGATGGAGCCTCCTCGTAAGCCAGGGGCCTGGACGCGTCCAAAGTCGCCATGGCCACTCTGTGTCTGAGGTCCATCCGAGGGAGGAGTGGTGTTGGCGGTGGGTGGGTGCTGCGGGGTTAAGACGGTGCTGGGGTCTCCATCCCCACACTGGAGCTCCTGGCTTCCCGCTCTGGCTGTGTCCTGCTATCGTGCCCCCCGGGGAGGCAGCCGCCATGGTCCAGGGCTTGGGTCGCTGCCGCCCACACAAGAGACCCGGATGGAGTTCCGAGCTCCTGGCTTGGCCAGGGCTGATCCCCAGCTGTTGTGGGCATCTGGGGGGAACACACACGCTGCAGCTCTGTCTCTGTCCCTCTGCCTTTCAAACAGTATAAGAAAAAAAAGAGAAGAATTTAAAAGAGTATATGGCTTTGGGAAAAACACGCGTACAAACACACACACCCCTCTGAGATAAACCAAAGTTCCTGGAATGTTCATTACTTTGGATTTTTTTTTTCACTTCTATTAGGCGGGGCCTCGTGTCCCGGGGAGGCCCAGCCTGGCCTCTTTGCTGCCCTGGGGGCCCAGCTTCCCTGGTACAGGCTGTTGGGAAACCTGTCCTGTCTGTCTGTCTGTCCCTCGTGGCTTCTGGTTGCCACCGCCCCTCTCCTCACCCACCCCAGTGTTTCTCCCTCCCTACCCTAAGGATTGGCTTATTCACCTGGCCCAAGGGAAACAGTGCCGGGAGGTCTTGGCATCACCCCCACACGGCTGAGACTGGCTGACCCATCCAGAGGAGGGCCCTGCTGTGTCATGGCCATGTGGGGCCTGGCATGGGGGCACGTGTGTCATGGCCATGGGGGTCATGCTCGGGGGCACGTGTGTCACGGCCACGTGCATCCTGGCACGGGACTCAGCTGCTTTCCATCTGGAGCCGCGGCTCTGCCCTGAAAAGCGCGTGCTGTGGGCATTCAAGGTGGCCGCCTCGTGGGGCCATGAACCCTGGGGCGGGGGAGACCCCAGCTGGATCCAGTGAAGACTGACAGGGTGCGCAGGTCACGTCTGTGATGGGAAGCTCCACCCCCCACTCGGTGACGTGACGGGGAAGTGGGTGCAGGGCCGCTGGGATGAGCATCAAGGTTGTGGCACAGAGGGAGAGAGCAGGGACCCATCTGTGAGCTCGCCAAGACAGGAAGGGACGGTGGCCGAAGAGCACGGTGCAGTGTGTAAGTGTGTGTGAGGGTCTGTGAGTGAGTGTGAGTGTGTGTGAGTGTGAGTGTGTGTGTGTGGATGACTGAGTGTGTGTCAGTGTATGTGTGTGTGCGCATGTGAGTCTATGTGTGAGCGTGTCTGTGAGTGTGTTTGAGTGTGTGCATGCCTGTGTGTGTCTGTGAGAGAGTGTGATTGTGTGACTGAGTCTCTGTGTGTGTTTTGTGTATGTGTGATTATGTGAGTGTGGGTGTGTCTGCATATGTGAGTGTGTGGCTGTGTGTAAGTCTGTGTGTGAGTGTGTCTGTGTGTGAGTGTGTCTGTGTGTATGTGTGTCTTGTGAGTGTGTCTGTGTGTGGGTGAGTCTGTATGTGAGTCTGAGTGTGTGAATTTGTATGAATGTGTGATTGTGAGTGTGCGTGTGGGTGAGTGTGTTCATGGGTGAGTCTGTGTGTGTGTGTGAGTGTGTTTCTGTGTGACTGTGGTGTGCGTGAGTGTGTGTGTCTGTGAAAGAGTGAGTGTGTGTGCATGTGTCTGTGTGTGTGTGACTATGTGAGTGTGGGTGTGTCTATGTAAGTGTGTGTCTGTGTGTGTGAGTGTGGGTGTGTGTGGTGGGGGTGGAGAGAGGGCACAGGAGGATGAAAGGAGTAAGAGCTGACATCAAATAGAGGGCGTTCACTAAACCCACTGAGGAGTCTGCCACCATCAGACTAGGCAGTGAGATTCTGTCACTATTGGACTATGCTGTGAGAGTCTGCCACCATCAGACTATGTTGTGAGGATTCTGCCGCCTTCGGACTGGGCTGTGAGGAGTCTGCCGCCATCAGACTGGGCTGTCAGATTCTGCCACCATCACACTAGGCTGGCCCGAGCACGAGAGGGCGCAGGTGAGAGCGCTGACGTCACTGTCACCCTCAGGAGCCCACACAACAGCTGCGCCCACAGACTCTGGGCAGGAGAAGGCGCAGCACATCAGGCCCTGACCCCGGATGCTGAGGACCGGGGAAGGAGACAGCGGGGAACGCGGAGCGGGCGCTGTGTCCTGACTCCGCGGTCTCCCTGCACGGCGACCTTGCTGCCTTGCTCCACACCTGCGTGGACGCCCCTGGCCGGCCTGTGCCCAGGAGGACGGTTTCCTAACGCGATGTCTGCAGACACCCACGGCCGAGTTCTGGGTGGGTGATGGCCACGTCCTTTATCCCTGATGGTTAACCTTGACTGCACAGTCATCACGGGGAAGATGTAGCCTTCGTCTGCCCGTCGTCACACTGAAGTCTCTCTTACAAAGGAGAAGGCGGATCATGGGTTTCCCGGCACCCTCCCTGGACTCCACGAGGTTGGGCCCTGGACTGAGCTCCACGGTAGCCGCCTGGCTCTGGTCGCCTTCGGGATACCCCACTGGGTGGGAGAACGTCTCCCTTGGGACAGCCCATCCTGAGTGGGCCCGAGCTTCCCGGCTGGCACACAGGACCCCCGGGCCACGAGGACCCACGTGGGAGGTGCCCCGGCCCCGGCCGTCCCTGAGGACAGAGGCCCCCACCTCCATGACACTCAGGCTGCAGACGCCCTGATCCTGCCAGCTCTGACTGCTGCTCGGGAATCCAAGCTCCGGCTTCTTCCCAGTGCTCGGGGCTCCTCCCTGGACGGGGGCCGCGGAGCTGCCCCCTCGCCCCCGCCCCGGGACTGGCCCTCGTGTCTCCTCCCCACCTGCGTCCACCCCAGGGGATGTCACTCTGATCTGAACATGACCTGGCTTCTCCCGCTCCGGGGACCCCGAATCTCCACCTGCAGTGTCTCTGGGGGTGGGAGGACGGCTGGAGGCAGATGACCCCCGCCTCACTCGCTGTCCCACGTGGGCCCAGTTCCCCTTAGGCGGGGACCACAGCTCTTGCTCAGCCCCGGCTTCCTGTCGAGCTGCCTCGGCCCCACCCCACGCTCCGGGCACTTCCTTCCCACAGTGGGTCCTGGACGGCGACTCTATGCTGCCCCTGCTGCTGCTGCTGCCCCTGCTGTGGGGGGGTGAGTGGGCCGGGGGAGGGGGAGGCACAGGTGGGGGCCGGGCAGTGGCTGAGCCTCTGTGTCCCCCTGCCCAGGGTCCCTGCAGGAGGCTCCCGGGTACGAGCTCCAGGTGCAGCGGTCGGTGACGGTGCAGGAGGGGCTGTGTGTCTCTGTGCCCTGCTCCTTCTCCTACCCCACGTCCTCCCGGGGTTCCTCCAGCCCAGTCTACATCTTCTGGTTCCGGGAGGGGGACCACATCTACTATGATGATCCTGTGGCCACAAACCATCCACAACGGCCAGTGAAGACAGAGGCCCAGGGCCGATTCCACGTCTCCAGCGACCTCAGGACCCCCAACTGTTCCCTGAGCATCAGAGACGCCAGGTGGGGGGACACAGGGTGGTACTTCTTCCGCGTGGAGACAGGACGTGATGTGAAATACAACTACGTTGAAACGAAGCTGTATTTGCATGTGACAGGTATGGCAGGGGACCCGGGTGAGGCCGGGGGCTTGGCCACCCCGTAGTAGGTCAGGGGCAGGGTGGGCTGGGCTGCTTAGAAGGGATGTGGGGTCAGGACCCAGCCTGGGGCCCGAGGCCCGGGTCGCTCTCATGGTCGCCCAGGTCCCCCACCCTGGGCCAAGTACCTGCCTCTCTGCCCAGCCCTGACCGAGAAGCCTCACGTCCACGTCCCGGCGTCCCTGGAGTCCGGCTGCCCCACGCAGCTGACCTGCAGCCTGCCGGGCTCCTGCCCCGGGGGGAGACCGCTCTCCTTCTCCTGGGCGGGGGAGGCCCTTGGCTCTCGGGACCCCAGGACGCTGCGCTCCCCACTGCTCACCTTTACGCCGAGGCCCCAGGACCATGACACCAGCCTCACCTGTCGGGTGAACCTCCAAGGAGCTCGGGTGACCACAGAGAGAACCGTCCAGCTCAATGTCTCCTGTGAGTGCTGGGGTGAGGGGTGACTGCTGGGCCCCGGAGGGCGGTGGGAGTGGTGTGTGTGTGAGTGTGTGCTTGTTTGTGCGTGTGTGTGAGTGCGTATGTGTGTAGGGACAGAGATGACACTAGCTTGAGGAAGCTTGCGTGTCTCTGAGCCTGAGGAGTGTGGGTGTGGCGTGGTCAGCAGACCCCGGCCTTTCCTTGGGTGCCCCCCGGTGCACGCCCCGCCCACCCTCACCTCTGACAGGGCCCTCTCTCCCGGCAGATGCTGTGCAGAACCTCACCGTCAGGGCCTTCCTGGGAAACAGCACAGGTACAGAAACCTCTGCTCTTGGGGATGCCAGTCTAGGGGTAGAGGTGGGGCGTCAGAGCTTGAATGGAAACAGAAGACAAAGGCCAGCATCCTGCAGCGCTGGCATCCTATATGGGCGCCGGGTTCTAGTCCCGGTTGCTCCTCTTCCAGTCCAGTTCTTTGCTGTGCTCTGGGAGGGCAGTGGAGGATGGCCCAAGTGCTTGGGCCCTGCACCCCGTGGGAGACCGGGAGGAAACTCCTGGCTACAGATTGGTGCAGCTCCAGCCATGGCGGCCATTTGGGGGGTGAACCAACGGAAGGAAGACCTTTCTCTCTGTCTCTCTCACTGTATATAACTCTACCTGTCAAATAAAAAAAAAGGAATCAGCACCCTTCACGTGTGTGCTCATGTACACACACACACACATGCACACATACACATACATGCACTTGCATTCAGGCACACATGTGCCCACATGCATGCACTCATGTGTACCCACATGCACATACATGTGCGCATATATACACATGTGGTTGTGTGTGTGCCATGTGCACTCGCATACCCACATGTGTATATGCATATGCATGTATGTATGCATACACATGCATGTATGCAAATACACATGCATGTATGCAAATACACATGAACAAATGCAAATACACATGTGCTCACATTTACATGCATATGGCCATGTGTATGCAGTGTGCACTTGCATAGCCACACATGTATGTGCATATACATGCTTGCACATATGCATGCACACACGTGCAAACACGTGTGCACATATCTATGTACATGTGCACACATGCACTCGTTTGCATGCACAGTGTATGGATATGCACACACAGACACATGCACATACACATCTATGCACACAGGTGCACAATATACTTACACACACATACACACATGCTCACACATCCATTCACAAAGACATGCACACACACGCATGCCCAAAGCCATGGGGAAATGCACACTGCCCATCCCCCACCCTCCCTGTCCAGTTCTAATCACAGGCACCAAGGCCAAATCCACTGCCAGCACACTTACGTTGGCTCAGGCTCTGGCTCTGATCCTGACACCAGATTTCACAGTCAGGAGACAACGAGCCCAGCCCCCGCAGAGGTCCTGGGTGAGCCGGCCAAGTGTGTGGGGGCGGCTGGACCTCAGGGACTCCCAAAGTGGTCCCTGCACCCCACTTTCCTCAGCTTTAGCTCAGTCTATGGGGGCTGCATTTCTGAAGACCCCTGTAGCTTGCAAAGTCATCAGGGCTGCCTGTTCCCCTGCCCTGCAGCCCACGCCTGCCCTGCTGTTCCCCTGCCCTGCAGCCCATGCCTGCCCAGTGGGGTTGCTGGGCCTCTTCTGCACAGCTCCCTGAGGGTGTGAGGCTCGGCCTGTGGGCCAAGAGGGACCCCAGGGCATGGGCTTAGGGAGGGGAAGGGGTGCCAGCCGGATTCTGGGGAGGGGCGAAGATGGAGGCCGTCCGCCTCCCTGCACCGCCCTCCACGCCTTCTCTCCCCAAAGGCTCCCAGATCCTGAAGAGCGGCTCAACCTTATCCATCATGGAGGGTCTGGCGCTGCGACTGCTGTGCCAGGTGGACAGCAACTCCTGTGCAAATCTGAGCTGGTTCCAGGGGTCTCCAGCCGAGAATGCCATCCCCATCTCCACCAACAACAGCCTGGAGCTGCCGCAGGTGCAGCCGGAGCACGAGGGGCTGTTCACCTGCCTCGCCCAGAACCCGCTGGGCTCCCTGCAGGGTTCCGTCAATCTCTCTGTTTACTGTGAGTTTGGGGGCACCTGGGGCCAGAACCCCACGACATCAAGGACAGAAGGGGCCCCCTGCTGAGTCCTGTGCCTCCTCCCTCCCTCCTCACAGACCCCGCACAGCTGTTTGGCCCCTCCTGCTCCTGGGAGGCCGGGGGTCTGCGCTGCAGCTGCTCCTCCCGAGCCCGGCCCGCCCCCTCCCTGCGCTGGCGGCTCGGGGAGCGGCTGCTGGCGGGGAACAGCAGTGGCAACAGCAGCCACGCCTCCTTCACCGTCACCTCCAGCTCCGCCGGGCCCTGGGCCAACAGCTCCCTGAGCCTCCACGGGGAGCTGGGCTCCGACCTCAGGCTCAGCTGCGAGGCCCGGAACGTCCACAGGACCCACAATGTCACCTTCCTGCTATTGCCAGGTCAGGGGCCCTGTTGGGGTCCTGAGTGGTGGGCGGTGGGAGATGGGGGGCTGGGGCTTGGCAGGACAGGGTCCCCCTGTCTCTGGGCTGAGCAGGAGCTAAAGCAGCCTCCATAAGGAGGAGGAGGGCAAGAGACATTCCTGGGCTCAAGGCAACTCAGCACCCTCTTTCCTGCAGGGAAAGCGGCCTGGGAGGGAGGAGTGGTTTCCACCGCCCTTGCGGGAGCTGGAGCCATAGCCCTGCTCGGTCTGTGTCTGTGCCTCCTCGTCTTGGGCATGTAAGTCTCCGTCTCGGCGAATAGTTGTAATCTAGGGTCTTTAATTCAAAGAGCACCTGTTCTGTGATTGGCAGAGAGGCAAGACAGGTGCTGATGGGGTACACAGGGGTCAGGGCGCACAGGGCCACAGAGTGACTGAGCCATGGTTCAGGGTGTGACACAAGCAGATCTCACGGGGCGGTGCTGGGACAGGGGATTCTGACTGGAGGTTTGGAGCATATAGGCGTGGCTGAGCTGCTGAGCGGCTGGCCCCCGGGCAGTGACTGACCGTCCACGCGGGCTTAGGGTCAGCGGCAGTCCAGGCGGTTGTCTGGGGCAGGGGTCTGGAGGGACTGCACCCAGGAAGCAGACTCGGAAAATCAGAACCTGTCAAGGGTGTGACAGAGTCCAGCCTATGTGCAGAGTGGACGCCAGGATGATTTAGAGGACAAGCGTTCCCTGCAGAAGGCATGGGGTGGGGGTGTGGGAGGCAGGAGCAAGGCCACTGAATCCCAGACAGCAGAGCTGAGCCATCCCGCCTGAATGAGTCGCACTTTTGACGCGATGCAGCTGCACTCAGGAACTGTGCCCTTATCGCCACGAGCCATTTCAGAACTTCCCCTGCCCCCGCCCCACCTCCACCCCAGATGAAAACGGAACTGAAGAAAGAAGGGAGGGAGGGAGGGACGGAGGAAATCCCACACCCCTGGGCTGTCGCCTCCCAACTTTCCCACAACTGGAATCTGTTCTCTCTCTCTATTCTGGGCACTTCCTGTGCGTGGAATTATAAATATGTGGTCCTCCTTGATTGGATTCTTTGCTTAGCGCTGCGTTTTCCAAGTCCATCCAAGCTGAAGCGTCCAGCAGTACTCCACTCCTTCCTATCCATTGTCCAGACGGCCCACGCTTTATTTGGCCCTTCTCGTGCCGATGGACATCCGGGCAGCTGCCACTCCTTTGCTGTTACGAGCAAGACTGTTAGAGATCCTATGGGAGCGAGTTTTTGTGTTAGGGGAGGTCTTCAGTAAAGGAAGTTTCGTCTCAGGCCACCTTGACCGAATCCCGGCTCATCTGGGATCACTCGGGCACTGGATACCTCGGCCGTCTTTCTCATGGTCTTCCCAGGGGCGGGGGGGAAGCCTGCTCCCACGTCCTGAGCCCTCCCTGCTACAGCATGCCGGTTCTTCTCTTAGAGTGAAGATCTGTAGGAAGCCAGCCGCTGGGAGACCGGAGGGCGCGGAAGACGAAGATCCTGTCATGGGTTCCGTCACCTGGGTGAGTGACGTGGTGCCCGAGGGCCCTTGGTCGTGCCCGCTGGGCGAGTCCACGCGGAGCTCCTCCGTGGTCGCCTGGGCAAACACGTGAGCATTGTCCTGTGGCTGACGGATCGTCACCTCCCAGCCAGTCTTCTCCCTAAGTAAGGCTAAGTGGCTCTCTGCTCCTCCTCGTCCGCCTGTTTCCTCTCTGCTGACCGCCAAGCCCAGCTGGCTTCCTGGACACAGGTTGCCTAACCATCTCCCCGGAGCTGTCGCTTCCCAGCCAACCTGGAGTTGCAGCGTTGTCCGTCCCACGGCTTCACCCCTGGTGATGGCCACCCCAGCCTGCTCCTGGCCCTGAACCCGCCCTGTAGTCTGGCCGCGCAGTCCTGTCTGCACACAGACTGAGCCTCTCACAGCTTTCAGCCTTTCCACGTACAATCCTTGCCCCATTTCCACCAGACTTCCTTGTCTAACGCTTGTAGCTCCGATCTCAGTACCTCCTACTCTTCTTCCCCTCCTGGTTCATGTCCGCGCCTCCCTCCTCCACGTGCCCCCAGCTGCACCTGCACCCCTGTTCTGAGAGTCTCAGCATGCGCCATAGCACTTACCTCCTCCTCATATTGTGACGTTCTTGAGAACAGGAGCCACTGTGTTTTCACTTACTCTATTCCTGCCCAGTATATCCCCTTCCTATTCCTTTTATAAAACCGAGTCCATATTGACCTAAATAGAAGTATTCAACATGGGGACCGGCGCCATGGCTCACTTGGCTAATCCTCCACCTGCGGCGCCAGCATTCCATGTGGGCGTCGGATTCTAGTCCCGGTTGCTCCTCTCCCAGTCCAGCTCTCTGCTGTGGCCTGGGAAGGCAGTAGAGGATGGTCCAAGTGCTTGGGCGCCTGCACCTGTGTGGGAGACCAGGCAAAAGCACCTGGCTCCTGGCTTTGGAACGGCACAGAGCTGGCCGTAGAGGCCATTTGGGGGGTGAACCAACGGAAGGAAGACCTTTCTCTCTCTCTCTCTCTCTCTCTCCCTATCTGTCAAATAAATTTAAAAAGAAGAAGTACTCAACATGTCTATTTCACAACCAGGCTGTTACCACTAGAGCAAGCATTGTTCACTCATGCTTCCTTATTTCTTCTATTTCATTTATCTTGTGATAAACGCTGATGTCCTGAAACACTGATGATAACCTGTATCTACTATCTTGATCCTTGTTCAATCCCCAGTAACCATCGCTCTGAGTCTGGTCTTCCTAGTCTGAGACTTACAAAAGTTCAGGGGAAAAGTGAATTAAGAGATACGTTTACTGGGGTAGATATTGGGCACGGCAGTGAAGTTGCCTGTTGGGTTGCCCGCATTCCGTATCAGCACCTGGTCGGAGTCCTGGCTCTGTGTCTGACTCCAGCTTCCTGCTCATGCACACCATGGGAACTAGCAGGCGATGGCTCAAGTACTTGGGTCCCTGCCACCCACAGGGGAGACACAGACTGGTTCCTGGGCTCATGATTTCAGCTTGGCCCAGTCCCAGCATTTGTAGGCATTTACCTAGTGAGCCAGAGGATGGAAAGATCTCTATCTGTTTCTGTCTGTCTTTCAAATAAAATTTTTTAAAAATAGTAAAGGTACACTTATTTTGCAGCAAAAAAAAGTTGAAATCCGTGCTTAGTTTTGTTCGTGTGTGTTTTTGAAGACCTGTTGCACGCCGGGTTGAGCCGTTCCTGAACCTGCACAGAGCGTCTTGCTCCACGTGCTCTTCCTGAGCTCGCCTTGTTGACTCAACAGGGTATTGTGACGACTCACCCACAGTATTGCACAAAGGTGCAGCTCAGTCCTCTGCCCGGCTACTTGATAACTCGCTTTAGAGTTGTATCTGTTACCTGAGCTCCTGCTCCCAGGCATGAGGCGCCCCTCTGTCCTCGGGAACATTCTTATTCACATCTCATATTTACATGCAAGAGTGTTGGGTTGCAAGGTGTGTGTCCATCTTTACATCACAAGCTCTTCAAAAAGACCGCATCCACCGTCCACTTAACTCCCGCCTGCGCTTAGGAGACTTTGCTGATCTGCAGTCTCTCTGGTATTTGCTTTTCTGTTTTCTCAGGGTTTTTTTGTCATCTTACTATGGGATTTATTTGCATTTCCTATGTTACCAATGAGGATAAAAAACAATCTTTCTCCCTTTTCACTGTCGTATGCACACCTCTTCTACGAGATCTTGGTTATGTATCTCTAGAGCACATCTTCCTACCAAGTGCTTGATCTTTCTGAATTTGTTGCAGGGCTTTATGTATTTATACCATTTTTCTACTTATATCATAAGTCTCATTCCCCAGCAGGTGGCTTGTCCTCATGTTTCCTAAGGTGACCGATGATGAACGTAAGTTCTTAATTGTAATATAATCATATTCACCAATCTTGTCTTTGCTATTGAGGGCCCTTTGGGTCTCATTTAGGAAATTCTTTTCCATCCTGGCATTCAAGTATCATTTCTACTAAAAGCGCTGCATTTCCCTTTTCATATTTAAGAATCTGATGTATCTAGAGTTGATTTCCATGTGTGATATACAGGGTTGATCCATATGTCCCTCCAGCTTGTGATCAGCTCCTTCCTCCTCCATTGATCGGCCACAACATTTCTGCCAGATATCCATTCTATATACATGTAGGCCTCTTGCTGTGACCTTAACTATCCTTTTTTAAAAAATATTATTTATTTATTTGAAAGGCAGAGTTACAGAGAGGCAGGAGAGAGAGAGAGAGAGAGAGAGAGAGAGAGAGAGAGAGGTCTTCCATCCACTGGTTCACTACCCAATTGACTGCAATGGCTGGAGCTGTGCTGATCTGAAGCCAGGAGCCAGGAACTTCTTCCAGGTCTCCCACACAGGTGCAGGGGCCCAAGCACTTGGGTCATCTTCTACTGATTTCCCAGGCCACAGCAGAGGGCTGGATCAGAAGTGGAGCAGCCGAGACTCAAGCTGGCACCCATAAGGGATGCCGGCACTGCAGGTGGCGGCTTTACCTGCTACACCACTGCACCAGTCCCTTAACTTTATTCCAGTGGTCAATTTTTCCATCTCTGGATCAGAACTATCTAGTATCAACAGAATGTCAGGAATCATGGAAAGATGGAATGGACAGAAACTTATTTTGGTGCAAAATTTTTTGAAATATATGCATAGGTTTTTCACAATATGCGTTTCTTATGAACTTTTTAAAGATGCCTCATATAATCTCAAAAATGAGTCCCAGGGGCTAGTGATGTGAGGCAGCCCATTAAGCCACTGCCTGCAATACCGGCATCCCGTATGGGCGCCAGTTTGTGTCCCCACTGCTCCACTTCCAATCCAGCTCCACGCGGATTGCCTGGGAAATCAGCAAAAGGTGGTCCAAGTGGTTGGGCCCCTGCTACCCACATGGGAGACCCAGAAGAAGAGCCTGGCTCCTGTCTTAGGTCCGGCCCAGTCCTGGCTGTTGGAATGAGCCAGCAGATGGAAGATCTCTCTCTCTCTCTCTCTCTCTCTCTCTCTCTCTCTCTCTCCCTCCCTGTCTCTCTCTCTCTCTCTCTCTCATTCAAATAAAAAAATATTAAAAAATTAGTCCCTATGTCTAATAGAATAAGATCCTTCCTTGATCTCCTTCAGTAATGTCTTGGCTAGTATTTTTTGATCCACTTAAATGTTACAATCAGTTTGCCAGATTCCAAAAAACACTCCTGTTGGCGTTCTGATTGGAGTCACACTGAGCCCAGATCTCAGTTTAGGAAGAATTTGCCTATCCATGAGTTCAGGTCTTCTCATCTGCAGCAACAGATGTATCTCCCTTGTTTGTGCATCTTCACTGTTTCCAGGAAAGATGTGGGTTTGCCTAACACAGCTCTCACCGTCTCTTGCTGTGTTTCTTCCTGCACGCTGATAGGGCTGTCTTTTCTAGAAGTGTTTTTTCTGATGCTTACTGCTGAAATGCAGAATGAAACATCCATGTTTTCTTTCTGCAAGTAATAAATCCCCAAGTTGGTCTTGGTGTCATTTAAATCTTGCTGTTTTGATTGCCGGAGAAATCTTGGATTTTTTTTCATCTGCCTGCTGATGGCTGTTTTCAGAAACGGAGACGCCACCTGAAAACGTGGTGGTATCCTTACGTTTAACTTTCGCGGTGTGCGGATCCAAAGCAGCCGATGCAAACCTAAAGCTGTCTCCTTGGAGAACTGACTCATCTTCTGGGGCCTCAGGTTCTGAGAAGGAAACGCTTGGCCTCATGTACGCCCTGCAAGTAGAACCAAGCCGAGTTCAACCCATGACCGGCTTTCCCGGATGCTTGCTTTGAAGGGGAAGTGAGCACACAGCCGCATGTGGCAACAGGCGTCCGAAACCTCGAGCTGTGACTGCACCAAGCTGCTTTTCATTTCCCTACCGTTTGTCAACAGGACCTTCTCCGGTTCCCCTCCCACAGCGGTGGGGTTGAATCCCCCGCTGAGTTCCTCTCAAGTCTCCATTGGGATGGTGCATCCCTTCACAGGGACACTCGGCCTCCTCTGGGGTCAGCTGTCTGGGCGCTGGGAGTCACCTCCATTCTCTCACTGCATGCAGCAAGTGACCAGCCATTTTTAAGATTGATCTAAATCCTTCCAGCTTGGGAAGCCTCTTATTAGTTCAAATAATTTGTATATGACTTTAAAATATCAAACATTCATCCTGGGTATTATTTAAAAATCTGTTTTTTAAAGATTTATTTTTTTATCTGAAAGGCAGAGTTACACAGAGAGAGAGGAGAAGCAGACAGAGAGAGAGGTCTTCCATCCGCTGGTTCACTCCCCAGTTGGCCTCAATGGCCAGAGCTGCACCAGTCTGAAGCCAGGAGCCAGGAGCTTCTTCCAGGCCTCCCACACAGGTGCAGGGACCCAAGGACTTGGGCCATCTACTGCTTTTCCAGGCCACCACAGAGAGCTGGATCAGAAGTGGAGCAGCCAGGACTCGAACCCGTAACCGTATGGGATGCCGGCACTGCAGGTGGCGGCCTTACCCGCTACACCACAGCACCAACCCCTTTAAAAATCTTTTGATACCTCAGATTACATGATTATATCATCTGCAAAGTCCTAACAGCCCATTTCTTCCTGTATCTAAGCACTTCATTCTGATTTCTTCTCTTCATTTGCTGTCTCCAGTCAAATACAAGTGGTAAACCTGGACATCTTTCATTGCTCCTGATTTGAAAGGAAATGGCCAACAGTCTACCATTTAAATTTGTCTTTGTTAACTTTGATGAGGTCAAGGAAGTCCCTTTCTATCTCTAAACAACTTTGAGTTTTCTTTTTCTTTCTTTTTTTTTTTTTTTATTTTTTGACAGGCAGAGTGGACAGTGAGAGAGAGAGAGACAGAGAGAAAGGTCTTTCTTCCGCTGGTTCACCCCCCAGTGGCCGCTGCAACCTGTGCGCTGTGGCTGGCGCACCGCGCTGATCCGAAGGCAGGAGCCAGGTGCTTCTCCTGGTCTCCCATGGGGTGCAGGGCCCAAGCACTTGGGCCATCCTCCACTGTACTCCCTGGCCACAGCAGAGAGCTGGCCTGGAAGAGGGGCAACTGGGACAGAATCCGGCGCCCCGACTGGGACTAGAACCCGGTGTGCCGGCGCCGCAAGGCAGAGGATTAGCCCATTGAACCACGGCGCCAGCCTAACAACTTTGAGTTTTCATCACAAACTTCTTTGAACCTTTCAAATGCACCTGCTAACAGGATTTTCTCCCTCACTCCATGTATCAGCCAGCTTTGCATCACTATAAATTCCTGAGGCAGCTCAGTTTCTCAGAAGAGGTCTGCTCACGGTGTTGGAGGTTGAAAGACTGAGATTGGCTTGGCCTCTGGTAAAAGCAGCAGATGGTGGAGGGCGCACAGAGGAAGGATCTCACGTGAGCCAGGGGTGTTGGAGAGGGAGTGGACCCAAACTCCAGTTTTTATAATAATCCTTTTGTGAGAACCCAGCGGGTCCCATGGGAGCTAGCTGTGAGTCACACCCTCATGACCTGAGGACCTCCCACCAAGCCCCCTCCCCTAAAGTCCCACCCCTGTCCAGTGATGCCACCCAACAGGGCTTTGTGAGATGTTGAACGCTCTGTGAGCAACCGTGAAAGGTTTTGCAGAATCCCCCGGGGAGGAGCACGTGGCACGTGGCGCGTCTGTTGTAATTCTGTAGTAGCTTCAGTTTGGGGGCCTTTTGCTTAGCCCTTTGGCACCCCCAGGCGTGGCTTCAATGGACCCGCCATTTTCCTCTCTCCTCCTGTTCCCTCTGTTGAGGCATCAAGATGGCGTTGAGAAGTTGGGGGCTATTCCCCCAACTTCTACTACCTGGAGAGGAGTGCATACAATTGGACTAACATGGATCTTGAATGATTAGAAAATGTCGCTTGTAGAATCATTTGGGCACGGTGCTGTCTCCGGGGGCAGTTTCTTCGATTCCATCATTTTGTGTGTTCTTCAGTGAGCTTTGTGTTCTGGGACTCGTTCATTTTGTCTCATCCAAGGTTTGTAATCTTTTCAGAGAGTGCTATGGGCGGTGCTCTCTGGTGTTTACATGGTTTGTTGAGATGGCTTCTCCCTTCATATTCGTGACATTGGTCATTTGTGATCCCCCGCCCCAGGTAACTCGCTTGCCTATTTCAAAGAACCAACTGTTTGGATTGTTGGTTTTCTCTTTGTATCTTTGTTTTCTATATTTATATTCATTTTCTTGTGTTCTTTATTACTCTCTTTGTTTATTCTGATGTCTTTACTAATTTTAAGGTGGATACCTAGTTTATTAATCTATAGTTCTCCCTTGCTTATGAAGCAGTGATGGATAACTTTCTCACAAACATCACTTTTGCTCAATCCACAGATTTTGGTGTATGCTGTCTTTATATTTTTTGTTCTGGGTATTTTAAAAACCTATAATTTCTTCTTTCAATCAAACTATTTGGGATTAAAAAATCTAAGTGTTTACAAATGTTTAAACATATTTCCATGATTAGTTTATTGTAAGATGATTTTTTTTTTGGTCAGGATACTTGGTTTTTATGAGATCTGTTTTTTTTTTTAATTTGTTAAGTTTTTTAATTTGTTAAGTCTTGTGGCTTGTATGTATATATTTTTGTATCTATTTCTTGTGTGATTAAGAATAATGTGAATTTTTTATTTCTTAAATGCTGGATAAGATTACCAGGTCACTGCATTAATTTTAATGCTCAAATACTCATACTGATAGATCTTCCTGACTTACTGATATTTGAGAGACACGTGTTGAAATCTTACAATGTTAATATATTGGTCAATTTCACACGTGTTTCTTACATTTGATTTATAAATTAAAACCATATATTTTGGAAGAGTTTTTCTCCTCATCTGAATATCTTATCACATGTAGTGATCCTCTCTATACTCATTATTTTTAAAAAATATCTATCTATCATCTATCTATCTATCTATCTATCTGAAAGGCAGCGTTACAGAAAGACAGCGAGTTAGAGAGAGAGAGAGAATTTTGCAGCTACTGGTTCATTCCTCAAATGGTCGTCATGGCCAGGGCTGAGCCAGGCTGAAGTCAGGGGCCTGGAGCTCCATCCTGGTCTCCTATGTGGGTGGCAGGAACCCTGTACTTGGGTCATCTTCTGCTGCTTCCCCAGGTGTATTAACAGGAAGCTGGGTCAGAAGTGGAGCAGCCAGGACTATGGGATGCCGGCGTCATAGGAGGTAGCTTAACCCACTGCACCACAACATACCCTACATTTGGTATTTTTTCTTGGAAGTCTAGTTCCAAACAGCTGCATCAACTTGTCGTTGGTTGGTCGGTTGTCTGATGCTTCTCCATGTTTTTTTCTCCCAAAATTTTATGTGTTTATGTTTAGTAGTAACTTCTGTAAAACGTGTATAACTAAGCTTTTAAAAACCCAATTTGACCTCATCTGTTGAGTTTATTCTATTGAAAATTTATCGTGAATATTGATTTATGCAAATTTCTTCTACTATTTTACCTTCTACTGTCACGTGGTTTCATGTTTTCAATATTTCACTTTTGTCCTTAGTTAAAAATTAATGTGTCTGGCCGGCGCCGCGGCTCACTAGGCTAATCCTCCGCCTAGCGGTGCCGGCACACCGGGTTCTAGTCCCGGTCGGGGCGCCGGATTCTGTCCCGGTTGCCCCTCTTCCAGGCTAGCCCTCTGCTGTGGCCCAGGAGTGCAGTGGAGGATGGCCCAGGTGCTTGGGCCCTGCACCCCATGGGAGACCAGGAGAAGCACCTGGCTCCTGGCTCCTGCCTTCGGATCAGCGCGGTGCGCCGGCCGCGGTGGCCATTGGAGGGTGAACCAATGGCAAAGGAAGACCTTTCTCTCTGTCTCTCTCTCTTACTGTCCACTCTGCCTGTCAAAAAAAAAAATTAATGTGTCTGTATTACTCATAGCAGAAGGACTTGAGCGTGCTTTTATATTTCCTGGTCTCTCTCCACCCCCACCCCACCCCCCCGCAATGTTGATGCTTTGCTGCAGATCTGAGTTTTTATCCTGGATTGTTATAAACACACTTAACTTTTTTTTATATTCTTTGGTATTTAAAAAAAAATGCAGTACACATTTTATACCTTTATATCCCAGCCATACCACCAGATTTCCTTTCTGTTTGTTTTCTCATTTTATTTGAATTTTTCCATTTGGGTTTCTCTGTATCAAGGCTTCTGAAGTCTCACGTGTCTGAAAATGCGTCTGAGGCCCTCACATTTCGATTTCACCTGGCAGAGTGTGAACACTGGGACCTAATGTCCCATCAACCCCATGTGAGGTCGCTCTCAACAGAGCGGCCATGAACCCTAGCGCAGGCGCTGGAGCTCCAGGGGTTTGGTCAGGGGTGTACACAAGATCCTTCTTTATCCTGACGCATGGCCTGACGCTTAAGTGCCCATCCCGGGACCAAGAGTCCCTCTCGCAGGAATCTCACTCACACCAGCAGGCAACTCCGTGGCTGCCGTCTCACTGACGTCCATTGTGCTCACACCAAGAGCCATGGGAAAGGTCGGGTCGGTGTGGCAGTGAGATAAGGCAAGGACTCAACAGACACAGGAAACCCCAGGAGCAGCTTGTTGGTCACAGACCCCAGAGAAAAGAGGGCGCCTGCCCCTCAGGACCCACGTGTGTACCTTTGGGGGGCTGGGGACATCAGGACAGCACAAACAGCAGGTGTGGAACGTGAGGGCGATCTGGCTGCAACATCTGTCACCCCATTGATCGCCAGGGTTGATTTGGCTGATCTGGCTGGCTGGGCGGGTGTCCCCTTCCTCCCTCACTGCTCCATGTGTGTCCCTCCCGAAGCTGCACGCTTGGTTGAAGAGGACGACCTTCCCCGCTAGAGGAGGACCGGTCTTCGGTCAAGGGTATACGAGTAGCTGCGCTCCCCTGCTAGAACCTGAAAACTAGCTCTCAAATAGCAGGTGTGGGGAGAGTGGGACTTGTCAGTGTGGAGCAGGCAGGCATGAGTGCTGTGCAGCCACACTTGATTGACAGGTGGTTTCTGCATCGTCCATGCAGGGGTGTGAGGGTGTGCAGGCAGGTCAGGTAGGTTGTCCATAGCTGTCCCACGGGGACGTGGTCACCAGGAGGCGGTTGTACAAGGCAGAGATGTGGACTAACCATCTCCAGGGACAGGCAGGAGGGTGGCAAGGGTTTCCAAGCCCCACTTCCGGCTGCATAAAGCTCAATTCCTTTCCAAAACGGACGTCAAGGCGTCGTGAAGCTCCAAGAGGTCGCTGCACCACCCCTGCCTCGTTGTCCCTGCCTTGACTGTGTTCTCTCCCCTCCCCTCCCCCCAGGATTCCCGGCAGAAGGCCCCCAAGCCAGACGGCCCCCAAGAGCAAGACTCTCCCGCGGATGCCGCGCCTCTCCCACAGCAGCCACAGGAGCTCCACTACGCCTCCCTGAGCTTCCACGGAATGAAGCCACGAGAGCCTCAGGAACAGGAGGCCACCAGAGCCACGGAGTACTCGGAGATCAAGAAGAGCAAGTGAGGACCCGGCTGTGGCTCGGTGCTGCCCGGAGGCATCACGGCTTTGTGGGGGGAAGGACATGGCTGGGACTGACCATGGAAGCACAAAGAGCCCTTGTGACAGCGTCACGGGGTGCAAAGAAGACAGGCCATGGGGTTAGGGACACTTGGGTTCATATCCAAGAGCCAGCGCTATCTAAGAACGCATTGCTGTCAGCAATTCGCTTCCCTTCTCCGTGCCTTGGTTTCCCACTCTGTATGTCCCAGGTTGTGAGTCCTACCTCAAAGGTCGCTGTGAACATCGAAGGAGTGAGCGCATGAAAATCGGCCAACAGAGGCTGTGTCGCACAGCGTGTGCTCAGCGCTTCCTTGAACAGGAAGCTCCCAAGGTGACTGTGCACAGAGAACCTGGCGGCAACACGTAGGCGTGGCTCCCCTCCTCAGGACCACCGGGAAGGCTCTCAGGGAAGGACCAGCCCCCCATCTGGAACTCAGCTCCTCACGTGGCATCTCCTACCCTCTCCAGAGTCATCTCATCACCCAGCTTCTACCTCTCAATCCTTCTGCAGGTCCCCTCCCCCACAGCAGCCTCTCCCCCCATTCACGGGATTCTCTGGGCTCCTTCTAAGAGCCAAAGTTCCATTTAAGTCTCTCTGGCTTTACATAATACATCACAAGTACCTCCCCACCCCCTGGAAGGCACTTAGAGACCTTCATGGTCTCCCTGCCAACTATTCATCTGCCCTCTCCTCCGGACCCACCCTTCCACGCCTTTGCCGTTGGGACCCCTCCTCCTGAAAGGCAGAAGGCTCATGCCACCTCGTCCTTCAGACATGAGCTCCTGGGGCCAGCGCTGTGGCACAGAGGGTTAAAGCCCTGCCTGCAGTGCCAGCATCCCACCAGTTCAAGTCCCGGCTGCTCCACTTCTGATTCAGCTCCCAGCTAATGCACCTGGGAAAGCAGCAGGAGATGGCCCAAGTGCTTGGGCCCCTGCACCCAGGTGGGAGACCCAGAGGAAGCTCCTGGCCCCTGGCTTCGGATTGGCTCAGATCCGGCTGTTGTAGCCATTTGGGGAATGAATCAGTGGATGGAAAACCTCTCTCTTGTCTCTACCTCTCTGTAATGCTTTCAAATAAATTTTTTAAAAAATATGAGCTCACGAGTAGACTTGGGTTGAGAGGGTGGACTGAAGAAAGACCTTGTACTCTTCCTCCTCTAAAGTCAAATTAATTTTTTAAAAAAGTGCTAAACCTGAGACCGCCATTGTGATGTAGTGAGTTAAGCCACCGCCTGTGATGCTGGTATCCCATGTGTGCCAGTTTGGGTCCCAGCTGCTCCACTTCTGATCCATGTGCCTGGGAAAGCAGCAGGAGATGGCCCAAGTGCTTGAGCCCTGCCACCCACGTGGGAGACCCAGATGAAGCTCCTGGCTCCTGGCTTGGGCATGGCCCAGCCCTGCTTATTGTAGCCATTTGGGGAGTGGGTAGAAGATCTTCCTCTCTCTCTCTCTTTCTCTCTCTCTCTCCCCCCCATCTCTTTCTCTTTCTCTCTCCTTCTGTGTCTCTGCCTTTCAAATAAAATAGCTTTAAAAAAAAAAGTACTAAAAGTTCTCCAGCAGCTCACACTGATGATAATATTATTTCCTGGACTTTGGAAAGTGACCAAGAGGAAAGGAGTGGACAGTCTAGCATGGGTCTGGGAGGACGCTGATTCCTAACACCCACTCCCCAAACCCCATTGTCAGTACTGTAGGTGGAGTTGCGATTGTTTCGGCAACAACAGGGTAGATTGCTCTTACCAAGCTTACATTGGAACTAACAAAGTCCTCTGGAAAAAAATGAACAAGAAAAAATTTTTCACTCGGAAAGGACAGAAAGTCTGAACATTTGCCAGGTCAAAATCTGGGGTGTGGGAGTCTGAACCCAGAGAATTAAGCAGACTGTCTCAGCCAAAATTTCCAGGGGCGTTTACCCATACTGACAACGCGATCTTTGGTTCTGTGCACCTGGAAAATTTTGGAAGAAAAAAATAATTCCCCTAGAAGAGAGTAAGACAGCAAGCTAATAAAACATCCCTTTAACTAACAATCTCAATGCATTTGACGTCATTGGAATTAAAAATGTTTTGTCCAAGATCACTTCGGCCAGACAATAGGAGGCAGACTGGAAGGAGAGACGATTGTGTCGTGGGGCAGCAGGGAGAGGGCCTGGTAGACAGAGAATCCCAAGATCAGCAACGCCAGCACTTGGCTCCTCCCCTCTCCTCAGCCAGATCATAGAAAGAGTGATCCTTAGGGGAACAGGAACGGAAAGATGGAAGGCTGACCACATGAGCCCAGCCCTCTCTCACCGTGGCCCTTGCTTCCTCCTTCCCAAGAGGAACCCGGCCTTTAGATGCCCTCGGATGTGGGTGCCTCGCTGGCACAAGGCCCAGGGCCTCACGCCTGTGAATTTTAGCCTGTGCCCGAGTGGAGAGTGCCCCAAATCCAGAGCCCAGCTGCGCTCCAGAACCACGGACAGCGCCCACCCTGCAGCCACCTACTTCCCCAGCTAGCACGGTGGATGGCACACCTGCTGGGGGCAGAACTCTGGCCTCCCTCGCATGCAGAGACTGTGGGAGGGGAGTGGGGACATTCGATACTACAGGACATGTGCTGGTGGGCGGGGCACCCAAGCTCCTCCCCAGTCTCCCCTTGAGAGCCCCCTCCCTCATCCTGGGAAAGAGGGGACTTAATTTCACAGAGATGATGCGTTTCTCACTGGCCACTGGGTTCTCTGTCTCTTGGGTCTGACACTACCCTCACCCTCTCCAGGAAAACCTTGGTGTCAGAGTCTTTTCTCTCTCGTGGGCAGATATTTTGCACTTGCTGTTAATCCCTTCCTTGTGCTGTCATGGAGCTCTGGACAAAACAATATTATGGGGCCGGCGCCGCGGCTCACTAGGCTAATCCTCCGCCTAGCGGTGCCGGCACACCGGGTTCTAGTCCCGGTTGGGGCGCCGGATTCTGTCCCGGTTGCCCCTCTTCCAGGCCAGCTCTCTGCTGTGGCCAGGGAGTGCAGTGGAGGATGGCCCAAGTGCTTGGGCCCTGCACCCCACGGGAGACCAGGAGAAGCACCTGGCTCCTGCCATCGGATCAGCACAATGCACCGGCCGCGGCGGCCATTGGAGGGTGAACCAATGGCAAAAGAAGACCTTTCTCTCTGTCTCTCTCTCACTGTCCACTCTGCCTGTCCAAAAAAAAAAAAAAAAAAAAAAAAACAAACAAACAAAAAAAAAAAACAAACAAACAAAAAACAATATTAAGCGGGATCCTTTTCTGTGTCTGACTTTATATCAAGTCCTGCTCGGCTCACACGAAGGGAAGTATGAGAAAGCTGGTTGAGAAGTTATGGTCTTGGGGCCGGCATTGCGGCGTAGCGGGTAAAGCCAATGCCTGCACCACCAGCATCCCATATGGGTGCCAGGTGGAGTCCCAGCTGCTCCACTTCCAATCCAGTTCCCTGCTAATGCACCTGGGAAAGGCAGCGGAAGACGACCCAAATGCTTGGCCCCTGACACCCATGTAGGAGACCCAGAAAAAGCTCCTGGCTCCAGGCTTCAGCCTGGCCCAACCCAGCTATTGCAGCAATCTGGGGAGTGAACCTGCAGATAGAAGTGCTCCCTCCCTCTCTCTCTCTCTCTCTCTCTCTCTCTCTGTAACTCTTTCAAACACATAAATAATTCTTTAATAAGAAGTTATATGCTTTAAAAATGATTGCATAATTTGCTTGAAAAACAGAGAGACAGAAAGCAAACAAGCTCTTGTGTGCCAGTCTACTCTCCCCCACAACAGCCAGGGTTGGGTCAGGCCAAAGCCAGGAGCCCAGAATTCAATCTGGGTCTCCCAGGTGGATGGTAGGGACCCAAGAACTTGAGCCATCATCTGCAGCCTCTTAGGGTCTGCATTAGCAAGGAGCTGGAATTGGTGGTGGAGCTAGGGCTCGAACCCAGGATGCAAGCATCCCAAATTTCAGCTTCAAACACCTGCCCTGAGAAATTGTGTGTGTGTGTGTGTTTAAATTATTATTTATTTGAAAGACAGAGAGACAGAGATCTCCCGTCTGTTGGTTCGCTTTCCAGAAGCCTGAAACAGCTGGGGTTGGGCCAGGCCAAGGCCAGGAGCCCAGAACTCAATGCCAGCATCCCCTATGGGTGGCAAGGACTGAGCTATTCCAGCCATCGTCTGCTGCTTCCCAGGGTGCACATCTGCAGGAAGCTGGAGTCGGAGGGAAAGCAGTGACTCAAACCCAGGCTCTGATACGGCACGCAGGCGTCCCATGCACCATCTTCACTGCTGCACCAGATGCCAGCCCTCATCCCCGGGCAGAAGGGACTGATGGGGCAAAGGCCAGAGAGTGAGTAGCCCTCCTCAAACCCATGGTGCTGCCCTTGCCCCAAGCGTGAACAGTAAGAGGGTTGCTGAAAAGGTGTCTTCACGGCAGGTCCTTGGTCTCCATCGTGGAGTACAACGTGGAGGAGACGCAGGGCAGAAGTCATGTGTGTGAAACCCGGGGTACGGTGCCGGACAAACATCCCGGCTCTGTCGACACACGCAGGGCAGAAGTCATGTGTGTGGAACCCGGGGTACGGTGCGGGACAAACATCCCCAGCTCTGTCGACACACGCAGGGCAGAAGTCATGTGTGTGGAACCCGGGGTATGGTGCGGGACAAACATCCCGGCTCTGTCGACACACGCAGGGCAGAAGTCATGTGTGTGGAACCCGGGGCATGGTGCGGGACAAACATCCCGGCTCTGCCTTCTTAGTCTGGAATGTCTATAGAAGTCTCTCTCTTTCGGTTTGTTGAAGGGGCTGACACACAAGCGGACCACAGTCCTCCTACCCCCATAGGCCCAAAGCTGCAGGGCGGGACCAAGGACTCCCGGCCAAATCCAGGTCCTCGGGGACCTCCCGGCCACCCACTGCTCCCGGGCAACAGCAATGCCAGGGATGGAGGAGGGCAGGACATGCTTCCTCCGAGGAGAGGACGTCTTGGGAGGCACAAATAGAAAACACCGTCTCTGAATGTGACAGGCAGGGGGCGCCCATCTCCTCCCGAGCAGCAGTGCCACGGCTGCTGGGCCTGGGAGACACTTCTCCTCACCCGGGAGGTGCAGTGACCAGACAGGAGTCTCCAGCGGGCGGATTCGCTGCCTCTGGGACCTCCGGCCAGCGACACCCCAGGGCTCTGCGGACAGCGCAGGTGTGTCGCTGGCTCTAGCAGAGGATTTGAGAGGTGGGCAGAGGCGGGCCCACGTGAGCAGGGCAGGTGCACTCCCGACTCCATCTTCCCAGGGCAGGAGCGGCCAAGTGGGCGATCATTATCCAGGCCGGCTCAGCTGTGCGCCCGAGGTCTGAATCCACGGCACCCCCGTAACAGAGACACCAGGAGAGACCGGGGGTGGGGGGACTGGGTGAGGATGGGAGGCGGCTGGGGAGAAAGGGTCAGTGCCACCATCTCTGAGGGGTCACACCCGATGGAAGTCCTGAGCTCCCTGTCCAAAGATCCTCCCGCTACACCCAAGGAGCTCCGCGTGGGGATGAAATGAGACCGTGCAGTACCGGCTGTACACAAACCGCTGAACGAGGAACGTCACCATGGAGACCGTGAGTGACACCTGCCCGTCAAGTCAGGAGACTGTTCATCCCACTGCAAGCACCCGGTGCTCAGGCATCCCCTCCCGCCTCAGCCGCCCAGGTCTGGGGCGCAGCTGCTATAGGGTCCCAGGTCGCTGGTTCCCTGTCCCCCTCCCAACCCCAGTTGGGAGGCCTGGGTGCAGGTAACTCAGGTTTATTCACAGTCACAGGCAGCCCTGACCCCGGAGGCCCCGCAGTCACAGGAGGACGGGGCCCCCTCCGCGTCCCCCGGCGCCCCTTGGGCCCCCTCCACACCCCCCTCCGTGTCCCCCTGGGCCCCCTCCACGTCCCTCTCTGCGTCCCCCGACGCCCCCTGGGCCCCCTCCACACCCCCCTCCGCGTCCCCCGGCGCCCCCTGGGCCCCCTCCTCGTCCAGCCCGCGGCGGCCCTTGCCGATGGCCAGGCGGGGCCGGCCGCGGTTCAGGCCGTCCAGGAGCGCGCAGGCCTGGCAGAGCGCACGGCTGGCCAGGGCCCCGCAGCGGGAGCAGGCGCCGGGGCGCGGGGGCCGCGCGGCCGGGGCCAGCGCCAGGCGCTCGGCCGAGTGCACGAGGTCCAGCACCACGGACGGCCGCGCCGCCTCCAGGCGCTTGAGCAGGTCGCGCGCGTGGCCGCGGAAGGCCTCGGGCGCGTACACGCACTCCTCGGAGAAGTAGTCGAGGCGGCGGAAGTGCGCGTACAGCACCACCTCCTTCTGCGAGGCCAGCTGCAGCGGGCGGCAGCGCGGCAGGGCGCCCCCCTCGCCCCGCGAGCCCAGGCCCCCGCCGCGGGCCAGCCGCGCCGCGTCGCCGCGCAGGAAGTTCATGAGCACCGTCTCGGCCATGTCGTCCGCGTTGTGGCCTGCGGAGGGGAAGAGACGGGAGCCGGTGAGCTGGGGCGCGGAGGGAGCCACTGGTCAGGGGGGAGCAGCACCCGGACCCGGAGGGACCCCCCAGAGCGCGTAGCGAGGGCTGTGGAGACCGCCGGGTACCGTGGGCGGGTGGGGGCCACCACAACCTCCCCTGGCCCAACCTGGGGGTGCCTTCGCTTGCCACCCACTACTTTGTTGCCAGGCCCTGGCTGATGCCCTTTCGCGTGGGAGTGAAGGTGCTGCATGCTAGGGCCGCGTTTCAGCCTCCCTTAAGAGAAATCAAATGACATCTAATGGAGATACTCAAGGGACCGCCGGCTAGGCAGGTTAGGGTGTGACTGCACAGTAGACTCCGCCTTCACGCTGCGGCTGGCCACCTTACGGTTGGGCTTACAGAGTAAAAGCACTGGTCTTAGGGCTTCCCAAGCTGGCCCTCGGTCCAGGGCTCTGCCTGAAGGGGTTCCTCTAAACACATCCTCTCCGCCCTTGGCCATCCTTCCCGTCATCCTCTGAGCCTTTGGGCCTCCCGGCCACTCGGGAGAGCCTTCCTCACTCCTCGCCTTTCTCCACGTGATGAGCGCAGAGTCTGGGTTATTTTCCTTGGTAGCACTTATCAGGTTATAATTATGTATGTGGGAGTCGGGCAGGAGCCATGATCGGCCACCATTTGTGTGTCTATTTATTAACCTCTAGACTGAGCGTTTACTCGGGACTTGTCTAATTCCCACCCGATCTAGGCTCCAGATGGTATTAACATCCCATTTTACAACACTGGAAACCAACACTGGCTAATGCATAACAAACTTGGTATGTGGTATACATTAAATGCTCAATAATTGCTTGTTAAAATCATGATTGAAAGGCAATAAGAGGCCAGCGCCGCGGCTCAGTAAGCTAATCCTCCGCCTAGCGGTGCCGGCACACCGGGTTCTAGTCCCGGTCGGGGCGCCGGATTCTGTCCCGGTTGCCCCTCTTCCAGGCCAGCTCTCTGCTGTGGCCAGGGAGTGCAGTGGAGGATGGCCCAAGTGCTTGGGCCCTGCACCCCATGGGAGACCAGGAGAAGCACCTGGCTCCTGGCTCCTGCCATCGGATCAGCGCAGTGTGCCGGCCGCAGCGCGGCGGCCATTAGAGGGTGAACCAACGGCAAAGGAAGACCTTTCTCTCTTTCTCTCTCTCTCACTGTCTACTCTGCCTGTCAAAAAAAAAAAAAAAAAAAAAAGCAGTAAGAGTCATCAGGGAGAAGTCAACGGAAAAATAAGTTAACAGGCACTGTGCTTTGCCGACACACGGCTTCTGATGGAGTCCCCACTTCTCTTCTCTCACTTCCCTTTATGAAAAGGACACGGAGAATGTAATTTAAAAATAATAATAAGGGACCGGCACTGTGGCATAGCAAGTAAAGCCACCCACTGCAGTGCCAGCATCCTATATGGGCGCAGGTTCCAGACCCGGCTGCTCCTCTTCCAATCCAGCTCTCTGCTATGGCCTGGGAAAGCAGTGAAAGATGGCCCAAGTCCTTGGGCCCCTGCACCCTCGTGGGAGACCCAGAAGAAACTCCTGGCTCCTGGCTTCGCATCAGCGCAGCTCTCTGGCCATTGTGACCAATTGGGGAGTGAACCAGCGGATGGAAGACCTCTCTCTCTCTCTCTCTGCCTCTCTGTAACTCTGCCTTTCAAATAGATACATCTTTTAAAAATAAATGTAAAAAATAGAATCACGGTTCCAGCCCCTAGGGAGTAGCCCCCTGACCCTCCCCCTTGGCCTGGTGTCCTAAGATGACCACGACTCTAAGCTTGTCACTGGCCCCACTGCGCTCTCCAGACACACACCCAAGACCTCACCCATGAACCCTCAGAGGGCACAGTAGATGGTGGAGCATGCGCACATTCCGACTCCCACCCGGCTCCGCCCCTCGCGCCCAGACCATGGTCTCCTTTCCAGGTCCCGGGCATGCGCCCTGCGCCCCATCTCAGGGCCCGCCCCCACCTACGCATGCGCTCACCCGTCACGATGTGCGTGGCTCCCACGCGGCGCGCGCCCTCCTCCAGCGCTCGGCGCCGCAGCACCCCGCAGAAGGTGCAGCAGGAGCGGCTGCGGCCCGAGCCGGCCGTGCTGCGGGCCACGGCGTCCATGGTCCAGCCGCCGAAGAGGTCCGCGTAGGCCACGATGGTGAGCGGCAGCTCCCAGCGCGCCGCCTGGCGCCGCACGGCCGCCAGCGCCGCGTCCCGGTAGCCGCCGATGCCCTCGTCCACGGCCACGAGGTGCAGCGTGAGGCCCAGGCGCGGCGCGAGGGCGCGCAGCACGTGCGCGAGCACGGTGGAGTCCTTGCCCCCGGAGGCGCCCACGGCCACCACGGCGCCCGGCGGCAGCAGGCGGCCCGCGAGCACCGTGCGCAGCACCTCGGCCTCGAAGGCGGTGCAGAAGCAGGCGCCGCACAGCGCCTGCCCGGAGCGCGGGCGTCGGAGCGCGGCGCGGGCCTTGCCGCAGGAGGCGCACGGCGGGGCGGGCATCGCGCGGGGCGGCGGCCTGTGCTGGGCGGAGAGGGGAGAGGCGGGTCACGCGTGGGTTCTGCGGAGCGGCCCTGCGCGCGCGAGGCCAGGGACGGGTGCGCGGGCCGAGGGGCTTCTGCGGGGGGAGGAACCCGGAGGGGACCCGCGGGGTCTAGCACAAGCAAGCCACCGCCTCCGAGGAGACTTTGGGGCTTACACTCGCTATGCACCGAGGAGAAGCCTGAAGAGCAGGTATCAGAGGAGGAGGAGAGACGAGCAGGTTACATCCGGAGAGGCCGTGTCCTGTGCCCGGGGATGAGGGGGCAGCAGGTGCATGGCCTCCAGGAAGACAAGGTGCCTGGCATTGCCCTGGGCCGCCCGGGCTGTTCAGGAGCTTGGGGTGTGGGGGCCGCGTCGCCAACTCTGGAGACAGAGGGAGGCCGGGGACTGCGGCGACGTGAGCAAATGAAAGGCTTCGCTTCGATACCGCCCAGGGTAGGTCTGAATGCAGTCTCTGAGCAGGGGGAACGCCTCCTCCAGGGAGACACAGAGGCAGCCTGGATTGCACCTCTGCAAGACCAGCTGGTGGGCGTGGGGGGCTCCAGGACTGGCCTCAATCCTGCTGTGGTATCAGAGTCCCTCACAGCCTCCCGCGGCCTCATCCAGACCCATTCTCGACGGCTACGTCTTCCCCTCTTCCCTGCCTCGCCCAGTCAAGACTCCAACCCTCCAGTCACTCCCTCCTTGGTCCTGCCCACCTGGTGCCCCACGGCAAAGCCACTAGACTGGGTTTCCTCCTCCTCGCACCGTCATTTCTAGCCCAGACGGCTGCCATTTGCAGCAGGTGCAGCTGCTCCTAGGACTGACCACAGTAGTCGTGTTAGGACTCTTATCTACGGGGCAAGGACCCGGATCAGAGGCTGTATAGGCGTCTCAGACTCCAAAGCCCTGCGTCCTGTAGCCAAACAGCCTTCCCCTGCAGTAGGGCACCACGCTTCAGTAACTCAGGCCAAGGACTCTGGGGTCCAGGAGTCTGAACGGCTCTTGCTCTCATCACTCGTCACTCTCCCGCTGGGTGGCTCCAAGCTGTAGCCAGCCCGCCTTGTCCTCCCAAAGCCACACCAGGACTTCCAAACCCCGGATGCCCAAACAGAGCACAGATTACGTCCTGAAGCTAACCCTGTGTCTCTGTGGTTGGCACCCGAGCTGTCCATCCCGGTCTCTGCCCTCCACCTCCCCTAGTCTACACACACTCCTCCACAAAAAAGCAGGTGGGAACCTGCCCAATATGTGCTCAACATCCTGCCGTGGTCAACGCTAACCGCCAGTGAGGCCAGTCTCTTTCAACCACACTGGTCTCTACCTGCCAACACCCAAAGAACGCTCCGGCTTCTGGGGGCTCACATCAGCTCCTCTCTCTGTCCAGAGTCCCTTTCCCGGTCACTGAGCCCAGCGCGCAACCCTTGCGATGCACCTGCAGTGGCCATCAGCATAGCTCTGTAGCTGGGCAAGCCCCCCCGACCATGGCAGTCTCTCCTCTTGCTTGTGTTTCCCCTCTTGCTGAGGTCCATGGTCTCCAGGTCCTGCCCAGCACCCCTCTTTCTCCTTGTGGATGACTCTGTCTCCACCAGCCCAGTCATCCGAATGCCCCACCAAGGATCCCCCCGCTGGGCCTCCGCTCGCATCTTGCCAGTGCCCACCCCAGCGGGAGAAACTGAATTGAGCTATTCCATGTCTCCGAGGAGCAGTGCCACCCGCACCCAGCAGCCCAGCAGGTCAGGACTCCGTCTTTGTCTTCTGAATCTACAGTCCTCCAGTCTTAGGTCTGGTCCTCATCGCCGCCCCAGCCAGACTCTGAGTCCATGGGCATCTGAGGTCCTGTGTGGTCTGGGACCACTGAACTCAGCCAGATGAAACTTCAGTGGGGTTTTTCAACCCCCTGGGACCTCTGGCCAGGCTGGGACACCCTGATGAGCTCTGTGAGGATCTAGATCTGCAGACCTGGGAGCTGTGGCCAGCAGGATGAGGGGGAGGGGCACGGAAGACTGTTCCCAACAGAGTGAACAGCAAAGACAAAGGGCCTGCAGGGCAGGGCGTGGCTGTGATCCGGTGGCTGCCAGGGGTGCCCAGGCTGGAGGCTGGCGAGACAGAGGCTTGGGGGTTGGCGGAGTGAAGAGCTTGGGTTTTATCCCGAACCACAGAGGGCCGTGGGACAGGCTCAGGCAGGGCAATGACAGGATCGGATTGATATCTGAACAGGATCGCGCGGGGTGCCGGTGGCAAGGACAAGAAGCAGGCAGGCCAGTGAGGAGGCTGGGGCTGCGACCCGGGGGAGGGGAGTCAGAGTCTCACACAAGATGTGGCTGGGGGAGGGGAGAGCGGATGAGATACAGAGACCTGGGTCTGCACCTGCTGCGAATGGCAGCCGTCTGGCTACAACGCGGAGCTGGCAGCTTGAGCCCTTGGAGAGAGAGTGGGGCCAGTGTGTGGGGAGGAGGTGGCAGGTGGGGGAGAGGGTGGGCTTGGTGAGCCAGAGAATCTGGGATCTTCTTTGGACTTGGAAATGTTGAGGTCCCTGGCTCTGGGGAGTGTTTCCCGACCCCTAGGCTTGGGTCTGGCGCCTCCCACAGCTAACTGAGCGGCCGCCCGCCCGGCCTCTGCCAGCCCTGAGCAACCAAGCCAGAGGAGGGTGCGCTAGCGCCACATCCAGACTGGAGGGCGAGAGAGAGGAAGAGTCAGGCCGGGCCGCGGAGTGCAAAGCTGCGTGGGGCACTCCTGCCCGGACAGTCACTGGGCGAACAGAGAGAGAGGACCATCTGTCCAGGGGTCCCCACCAGAAGGCACAGGAGAGACGTAGACCACCACCCCCAACTCTTACAGAGGTCCAGGATTGGCCCGCGGTGGGAGGAGGGGGCGCTTGCTTACCTGGGCAGAACCGGCGCTGGAAAGTGCAGGCTACCGGAAAACGTGGAAGCTGGTGAGAGGACTACGACTCCCAGGGGGCTTTGCGGATGCTCGCCTACAACTCCCAGGTGCCCGTGGGGGCGGCTCGACTCGAAGCAATTACTGCGGTCCGACTAGCCGGGCCTACAATTCCCGGCGGCCCTCGCGGCGGCGCCCCGCGCGCGGCTCCCGGCGTACCCTGGGCGGATGCGACCGGTTTCCCGTCTGCGCCTGCGTGCGAGTGCGTTGGGCTTCTGGTCCCTCCCGAAGATGGAGCGGGTGGCCTCAGGGTGTCTGCTGTCGTGGGAGTATCAGCAGCGTTTGCTGCGGATGAGGCCAGACCCGGGCTGTGCTGAGCGGATGCCGTCGCGAGGGAGTGCGGAGGGGGCTTCTGCCCGCGCCGCGCCGTGCCGGCGTGGGAGTGGGCGTGGGCGCGGACGGAGGGGCGCGGGACGGAGGCCCCCGTGCCCGCGCGGAGCTGATGGCCGGGGGGACGGTTTGCGGTGAACAGTTACGCCCCGTGCCCGGTGCGGTGCAAGACGGAGGTCGGGATGAAGAGCAGGTGAGACCGGGCCCTGGACCCCGGGCCCCCTGCCGGACCCTGGACCCCGGGCCCCAACCCCGACCCCCTGCCGACCCCCAGCCCTGGACCCCTGCCGGACCCCAGCCCCGGACCCCCTGCCGACTCCCAGCCCCGGACCCCCTGCCGACCCCAGCCCCGGATCCCCTGCCGGACCCCAGCCCCGGACCCCCTGCCGGACCCCCTGCCGACCCCAGCCCCGGACCCCCTGCCGACCCCAGCCCCGGACCCCCTGCCGACCCCAGCCCCGGACCCCCTGCCGACCCCAGCCCCGGACCTCTGCCGACCCCAGCCCCGGACCCCCTGCCGACCCCAGCCCCGGATCCCCTGCCGACCCCAGCCCCGGACCCCTGTCGACCCCAGCCCCGGACCCCCTGCCGACCCCCAGCCCCGGACCCCTGCCGACCCCAGCCCCGGACCCCCTGCCGACCCCAGCCCCGGACCCCCTGCCGGACCCCAGCCCCGAACCCCTGCCAACCACAGCCCCGGACCCCAGCCGACCCCAGCCCCGGACCCCCTGCCGACCCCAGCCCCTGACCCCCAGCCCCTGAACCTCTGCCGATCCCCAGCCCCGGATCCCCTGCCGACCCCAGCCCCGGACCCCTGCCAACCCCAGCCTGCCCCGCCGTCACTGCTCCTGGGTGGGGGTGGGGACTGAGCGCAAAGGCAGTGGCGTGGCCCCCACGCCGCTTCCCTCCTGCGGGCTGGGGGCGGCGGTGGCCCCCAAGCAGCAGGCGCTGTTTGGGCTCGGTGAAGCCTCCTGAGCAGACACGGCTTCCTTTTCCTGGCCGGGCCCAGTTTTAAGTTCCTTTAAAATCAGAAAGCGAGGTGGGAGTTGTGGGCTCCGTAGTTCCGCACGGGGAGGGGAGCAGTGAGTGAGTGGCCCCCCAGGCGGCGTCGGGAGCTGGTTCTGGTTGTCCTGGGGGCAAGGGCAGATGGGGCCAGGTGTTGACAGGTGGAGACGGGGGCGGGACTGAACGTGATGCACGGGTGTCGATAGTTCATAAGCAGCTAATCGGGCCAGAGAGCCCTCCCCTGGGTGTATCCTGCTCTCCCTTGGTTTCCTACCCAGACTGTAATGTACAGCACTCAAGCAGTTGTTTTTTTAAAAGTCGGAGTTACATAGAGGAGATGCAGAGAGAGAGAGAGAGAGAGGTCTTCCGTCCGCTCGTTCACTCCCCAATTGGCTGCAATGGCCGGAGCTTTGCCTATCCGAAGCCAGGAGCTTCTCCAGGTCTCCCACGCGGGTGCAGGGGCCCAGGGACTTGGGCCACTTTCTACTGCTTCCCCAGGCCACAGCAGAGAGCTGGATCAGATGGAGCAGCCGGGACTGGAACCAGTGCTCACAAGGAATGCCAGCACTGCAGGCGGTAGCTTTACTTGCTGCGCCCCAGCGCCAGCTCCTCAATTGTGTATACGTTGGATTTAATCTTTGGAAGTTGGCTCGGTTGAGTGTCCACAGTGCCTAGCTCCACAGCACTCACGTACTTCGGGGTGGGAAATTGTCCAAAGAAGGTGGACCTCAGATTGGGTAAGGAGACGGGGGTGCCGCCCTCGGCCAGCCTGTGCGGTTCCTTGCTGTGCGTACTCTGCTGCGGGTCCTCGGGTGAGTGGACTAACCTCTCTGTGCTCCCATGTCCTCCCCTGTGACGGGTGTCAGAGCGGCTGTTGGGAGGCCGGGTGAGGAATTCAGTCCAGTGCTTGGCCGGAGAAGGGCTGGATACAGGGGATGTTGGCCCTGTTGGACCCAGTCGTGACTGGACAGCTCACTGGACAGCCCCCCTGGTCCTCGTGGCCACGCCCATCATCAGGCTAGCATGGCGTGGACGGAGGCCTCTCCGGCGTCTTTGGAAGCATCTCTGTCCCGTTTGTTGCCGCCCGTTGGCTTGATGATGGGGAGGGGTTGGGGGATGGCCTGGGGTCTCCCGCCTGGCTCCCAGGGGGTTTGCGGGCGGTCCCCGGGTTTCCCAGCGACAGAGCTTTGCTCTGTGTGTTCCCACTGCTGGCCCTTCGGCTCCACCCACACTGACCCCCGCCGCCGTGCACCCGGTGACAGCAGCCCGTGGGCTGTCGCGGACCCCCGTCCCTTCATTGGAGGCCCTGGCGCCTTCTGTCAGTTTCAGTTCTCTCTGGTCCGGGAGCTTCTTGAGCGTGGGTCCAGTTGGGTTTGAGCTGGGTCCCCTGCGTGGCTGCCCACGAGGCCTGGTGCAAACGGCAGGGTGCTCGGGCCCACCCGGGCTGCTCCCAGCTTGTCCTGTCGCATGCCTCCTTATCCTACGCTTCACTAAACACAGAGCCCAGCACCAGAAGCCGTTGTCATGGCGGTGTGGTAGGTGGGGACAGAGGCTCTGGGCCCCGGTGCCTGGTTTGGGCTGGAATGACGTCTCCTGGCTGTGGGGAGCCACGAGCGAGAGGAGGGGACGGCACCCCCGCAGCCCCGGGGTTAGAGCCGCAGTGCCCAGCCGGAGGTGGCTTTGCCCTCCAGGGCCCATTCGGCAGAGACCAGACCATGGGGTGGCTGCAGCTGGGGCTGGGACGGCCCTCGTAGAGAGACGCGATCAAGGTGTGGGCGGTGCTGAGGGGGAGGACCTAGGGTTAGTGGGTGAGAAGAGGTGGCAGCCGGGGGTGGGGGTGCTGGCGACAGCTCTGAGCCTCAGCAAGGACTCGGCACACAGCAGCTGCCGGTCCCGGGCCCTGGCCCGCCAGGCTGCCTGCCGCCTCCGCTCTCCCCTCCCCGCGCACGGGCCGTGACCGCCCGCCGGCTTGCAGGCACGGCGAGTGCAGAGCCGGTCTAGCGCGCATGGGTGGTCTGGGCGCGTGACCCCTGAGCTCTGGAACCTGGGCTTGTCAAATACGGACTTTGGAGGAAAAGCCACGTAAACGCGCTCATACTTTTCACGTGAGCGGCGCGTTGGGACGGTACCGTCTCTGCTGTGACGGGCTAGAAGTCACGTGAAAGTTAGCTGTCCCTTCTGGTTGAGCCCCTTGAGCGTGGCTGCTGGAAAGTCGGGTCTGACCGCGTGGCGTTGCTGGCGGCCAGCACTGGCGCCGCCGCAGGTGTCTCGGGACAGCCGGATCTACCCCGGCCCCAGACGTTCAGACGGCAAAGGAACTTTCCCGGCAGGCTCTGTTCGGCGAGTTAGGACATGATGCTGAGACGGGGTCAGCCTGCGTGTGTCGTGGGTACGGAGGCACGGGCGCGCTGCGGTCGGCTGAGCGCCCTCCGCGGGAACCCCGCAGCCGGCTGGGAACCTTTGTGCCGCCCCCTCACTCTTCCTAAGCTGGCCCTGGCGCTTTTCAACAGTGAGACTTCTTACTGGGAGGCAGAGACCGTCTGTGTTTTACCAGGTGGCTGAGACGAGGCCCGCCTGTCGACAGTGCGTGTTGCGATGGCCTGACCTGATTGGCTGCGTTTGGGTGATTTTCAGAACCTCCGGGGACAGCGCCCGTTCGACGGCGTCACTGTCCTGGACCCGGGTGTTTCGTGCAGTGTGTGACAGCCGCGTGCCTGGAAACATTCCACTTAGGCGCTTTGTGAAAAGATGGGGTTCACTAGGCTGTAGCACCTCGAGTACGTACCTCTCAATGAGTCAGCCTTCCCCGAGAGGTGTGGGATAGGGAGGCCGGGCCGTGTGTCCCCGAGAGTGTGGGGCCCAGGCCCCTCTGCCGTGCCCTCTCCAGGGAGACGGGGCCGTGTGTCCCTGAGAGTATGGAGACCAGGCCCCTCTGCCGTGCCCTCTCCAGGGAGATGGGGGGGTGTCCCCGAGAGTGTGGGGCCCAGGCCCCTCTGCCGTGCCCTCTCCAGGGAGACGGGGCCATGTGTCCCTGAGAGTATGGAGACCAGGCCCCTCTGCCGTGCCCTCTCCAGGGAGACGGGGCCGTGTGTCCCCGAGAGTGTGGGGCCCAGGCCCCTCTGCCGTGCCCTCTCCAGGGAGATGGGGGGTGTCCCTGAGAGTGTGGGGCCCAGGCCCCTCTGCCGTGCCCTCTCCAGGGAGACGGGGCCATGTGTCCCTGAGAGTATGGAGACCAGGCCCCTCTGCCGTGCCCTCTCCAGGGAGATGGGGGGTGTCCCCGAGAGTGTGGGGCCCAGGCCCCTCTGCCGTGCCCTCTCCAGGGAGATGGGGGGTGTCCCCGAGAGTGTGGGACCCAGGCCAGCCCAGGCCCCTCTGCCTCGCCCTCTCCAGGGAGATGGGGGGTGTCCCCGAGAGTGTGGGGCCCAGGCCCCTCTGCCTCGCCCTCTCCAGGGAGACGGGGCCGTGTGTCCCCGGGAGTGTGGGGCCCAGGCCCCTCTGCCGTGCCCTCTCCAGGGAGATGGGGGGTGTCCCCGAGAGTGTGGGGCCCAGGCCCCTCTGCCTCGCCCTCTCCAGGGAGACGGGGCCGTGTGTCCCCGGGAGTGTGGGGCCCAGGCCCCTCTGCCATGCCCTCTCCAGGGAGATGGGGGGTGTCCCCGGGAGTGTGGGGCCCAGGCCCCTCTGCCGTGCCCTCTCCAGGGAGATGGGGGGTGTCCCCGAGAGTGTGGGACCCAGGCCCCTCTGCCGTGCCCTCTCCAGGGAGACGGGGCCGTGTGTCCCCGAGAGTGTGGGGCCCAGGCCCCTCTGCCGTGCCCTCTCCAGGAAGACGGGGCCATGTGTCCCCGAGAGTGTGGAGCCCAGGCCCCTCTGCCGTGCCCTCTCCAGGGAGATGGGGGGTGTCCCCAAGAGTGTGGGGCCCAGGCCCCTCTGCCGTGCCTTCTCCAGGGAGACGGGGCCATGTGTCCCCGAGAGTGTGGAGCCCAGGCCCCTCTGCCGTGCCCTCTCCAGGGAGATGGGGGGTGTCCCCAAGAGTGTGGGGCCCAGGCCCCTCTGCCGTGCCCTCTCCAGGGAGACGGGGCCATGTGTCCCTGAGAGTGTGGGGCCCAGGCCCCTCTGCCGTGCCCTCTCCAGGGAGATGGGGGGGTGTCCCCAAGAGTGTGGGGCCCAGGCCAGCTCAGGCCCCTCCGCCTCGCCCTCTCCTCTTGCCTGACCGAGGGCCCTGAGGGAGCTTCCAGCTGCTGCCTCCTCAGCCTGGCTCAGAGCACAGGGCTGGGGAGGAGGCGCCTGGCCAGGACCCCAGTGGTGGGGGAGGGGAGGAGGCAGGGGACACTGTGGGGGACCCTCCTGCTCCCCCGCTCACTGCACACACACGGGGTTGCAGGCACAGCGCGGTAGCCAGGGTGCTGTTTCCACACGTGAAAACGTAGTTTACTGTCGGACAGAAGAGTGCATCAGTTGGGAAGAGTGGACGTACGCTCTGGCTCTGACCCATTTCTCCCGCACGAGAGTTGCTGGTGGTTCAAGACGTCCACTTCTTAGAACTGTCCGTAACTCAGGGCAGCAGTTTTAGACGTGCCGTTAGTTCCTCGTCCTTGGCTCACCTTCCCACGACAGCGGAGACTCTGTAGCTCTGTGGTGGACTTTCTGAATTCCTTTTCTCATCTTGCTCAGAATTATATTTTCATAATCCAGAGGCCCAAGCACAGTAGCACTGTGTCTCACGGTCACCATACTTTGTTTAAGATTTATTTTCATTATTTGAAAGAGTTGCCGAGAGAGGGGTCTTCCATCCACTGGTTCACTCCCCGAATGGCTGCAATGGCCGGAGCTGGGCTGATTCAAAGCCAGGAGCCAGGAGCTTCTTCCATGTCTCCCACGCAGGTGCAGGGGCCCAAGGATTTAGGCCATCTTCCACTGCGTTCCCAGGACATAGCAGAGAGCTGGATCAGAAGTGGAGTAGGTGGGACTCGAACCAGCACCCACATGGGATGCCGGCACTGCAGGTGGCGGCTATACCCACTATGCCACAGCGCTGGGCCCACAATCACTATGCTTTTGATAGGAATTCAAAATGTGGAAAAAGAAAAGTCATTTCTTGAAGTTGAAGAAACTCCGTTGTGTGCTTCTCGTGCGGTCAGGGGTCTTTTTGTACTGGGTTCTCCAGGAAACGAGCCACACTCGTGATGGCGCAGCCCCTCCTGTCCCAGCGCCAGGAGGAGGAAGGGTGGAAATACCCTCACACTCGGAGGACTTGGGGCCGACACGCTTGCTGTCGGTGACTCCGCAGAAGCTACCAGAGAATCTGCCTCTGAGACCACGCAGGCCCCCAGGCGTCAGTGCCCTGAGCTCGCCGGCGCTCCTGCCTGGGAGGAGGAACGGTGTCCCCGTCACAGCTGGGCTGGCACCTGCTGCTTGCGGAGCAGCCGGGCACCGTCTGCTTGTCACGGGCTGCCTTCCGCTCGGGGAACAGGCCCGTGAGCTGCTGCTGGGCCGACTGCAGGTTGCTCCCAAGGCGTGCCTTGGTCTCCCCAGGACGGCAGCAGATCTCGCCGTTGTGGACCGTTGTCGTGTGAGCGCGAGGTGCGTTTCCTCCTAGCCCGGGCCGTCTGGTGTCTCTTTGGTAGTGAGAACGGCAGCGTCTGCACCGGGGAGGGTTGCTCGGAAGCCTGGGTTGGTCTCTAGGACGCCGTGCTCTGCGTGAGCACCTTTCCCACTGGAAGCTGGGAGACACCGGCCGGCAGGCCTGCAGCTGCAGTAAGGTCTTGTTTCCTGGTGCTCTCAGGATTCAAATCCCGGAGCCTGCTCAGCAGCGAGGTGCTGTTCCAGTCCGTCTGAAAACGTGCGTCCTGTTCGGTGGCAGGGATGCCGCTCAGTCCCCGCTGACGAGCACCCTGTGCAGTGCTCAGATCCTCCCATTTGGCGCTGGAATGATGGGGCCAGCGTGGACCGGCCCGCGTCTGTGCAGGGACCTCCAGCCACAGGCATGCTGGGGTGGACCCGGGGAGCTAGAATCCTTCCCTTTCCCTGCCGTTATCCCCGAGAGTTCCAGTTCCTCTGTAAATACAGAACCTTTTATTCAAGTGTGAGTTCAGGGCCGGCGCTCTGGCGTGGCGGGGAAAGCTGCCACCTGCAGTCCGGCATCCCATGTGGGCGCCGGTTTGAGTCCCGGCTGCTCCACTTCCGACCCAGCTCTGTGCTGTGGCCTGGGAAAGCAGTAGAAGATGGCCCAAGCCCTTGGGCCCCTGCACCCGCGTGGGAGACCTGGAAGAAGCTCCTGGCTCCTGGTTTCCTGATCCGGCCGTTGCGGCCATCTGGGGAGTGACCAGCGGATGGAAGACCCCTCTTTCTTCTCTGCCTTTGCCTCTCTCTAACTCTGCCTTTCGAATAAATGAAATAAAATATTTTTAAAAATTAATTAGGGCCGGCGCTGCGGCTCACTAGGCTAATCCTCCGCCTGCGGCACCGGCACACCGGGTTCTAGTCCCGGTCAGGACGCCAGATTCTGTCCCGGTTGCCCCTCTTCCAGGCCAGCTCTCTGCTATGACCCAGGAAGGCAGTGGAGGATGGCCCAAGTCCTTGGGCCCTGCACCCCATGGGAAACCAGGAGAAGCACCTGGCTCCTGGCTTCGGATCAGCGTGCCGGCCACAGCGGCCATTGGAGGGTGAACCAACGGCAAAGGAAGACCTTTCTCTCTGTCTCTCTCTCTCACTGTCCACTCTGCCTGTCAAAAATAAAAAAATTAATTAATTAGTTAAAAAAAAGTTCAAACAAGGTCTCATCAGGCATCAGCTAGAAAGAGAGTATCCTAGGATTCAGTTCTTCACCCGATAGCTAGGGGGTCCATGAGTCCGTCTCTGTCCTCAGTGAGTTTTTGGAAGAGTAGAGACTGAACTTCCCCAGGGTACTTCTCAGGGACAGGAGGGAGGGAGGGGTGTGCAGGGACACGGGGACAGGGAGGGAGAGGACAGGGACAGGGAGGGAGGGAGGGGTGTGCAGGGACACGGGGACAGGGAGGGAGAGGACAGGGACAGGAGGGAGGGAGGGGTGTGCAGAAACACGGGGACAGGGAGGGAGAGGACAGGGACAGGGAGGGAGGGGGACAGGGAGGGAGGGAGGGGTGTGCAGGGACACGGGGACAGGGAGGGAGAGGACAGGGACAGGGAGGGAGGGAGGGAGGGGTGTGCAGGTACACGGGGACAGGGAGGGAGAGGACAGGGACAGGGAGGGAGGGGGACAGGGAGGGAGGAGGAGTACAGGGACAGGGAGGGAGGGGTGTGCAGGTACACGGGGACAGGGAGGGAAGAGGAGGACAGGGACAGGGAGGGAGGGGTATGCAGGGATACAGGGAGGGAGGAGGAGTACAGGGACACGGGGACAGGGAGGGAAGAGGAGGACAGGGACAGGGAGGGAGGGGTATGCAGGGACACAGGGAAGGAGGGGGTGGACAGGGACAGGAAGGAGAGGGAGGGGGTGTGCAGGGACCCAGGGTGTCCTCTCCAGGTCACCCTCTAGTGGTGAAGGCGGAGTGTGGCCTCTGGGAGTTTCTCGCCCTCTAGGGTTAGATTCCTGGTGCAGTGGGGTGGGGGCTGGCGTGGGCACCGGAGGGTGTTGAGCAGCATCCCTGGCTCCCACCCGCTGGAGGCCAGCAGCACCCCTCCCCCGCCAAGTCGCAGCAGTCTCTCAGGCTTTGTCAGATAACCCTTGGGAGGGGGAGCAGAATCTGCTGCAGATGGAGCAACCTAGAAGGCTGGCTCAGATCCTGTGCGGCCCCCGCCCTGCCCACAAGACCCTTCCCATTCAGGCTTTGGTTGCCACCCTGACCTCATTCTCCAGCATCAGTGTCTCCGCCCCCTCCAGAAACAACACTCCTCCTCGTCCTCCTCGTCCTCCCCGTCCTCCCCGTCCTCCCCGTCCTCCCCGTCCTTTTCCGCGTCCTCCAGGGCTGCCCTTGGGTACCTCCCCCAACGCCCTCCCAAAAGCTGCCTCCCACTGTCCCCGTTCTGCCCACCCCGTTGCCCTAGTTACTTGCAGATGTTCAACACTCCCCGAAATGACATTTTGGGGTCCGCTGTCTGCGAGAATGTGGGTTTCAGGGGACCGAGGTTTCGTTGGTGCTGTGTGCAGCCTTGGTTCCTGCGTTAATACCTAGTGTGACGTGAGAGGCGGGGACCGATGGCCGTGCTTTGGGCTCTCGGTGCCAGAGGCCCGGGGCTGAGTCGTGTTGACCGGGACACAGGTGGGATGTGACACGGGGACAGCGAGGGCCGAGCCAGGGCAGAGCGCAAGTGCAGAGGGAACACTGGCGCGCTCTTGGGGGGCCAGCAGGAGCTTACCCTGGGTCGAGGGCGTCTGGGCCATTCCACCTTCTGTGCTTGCAGACGTGGGGCTCAGAGCTGAGCCACGCCCGAGCTCGCCTCGGACAAGCTGCTAGGCTGCTGGGGAGGCTCACGGGGCAGCCGCGGTCCATGAGGTCCCATCACGTCGGAGGGAGCTCGGCCATCAGGGCAGCCACTCGGTGCCACTCGGGTGAGGGTCCTTGGCTGTGGGGAGGAGCCCCGTAGAGCGCCCAGAGTGAACAGCGGTGGCGTTGGGTCGAGGACCCAGCCTGGCCGTGCCCTGATCCGTGCGCCCCGTGGTCCTGGCACGGCAACCCGAGGCCAATGCTGCCAGACAAGGACACTTGGAGGTTTGGGGTTGCTCACCCCAGAGAGATGCCCAGCTGGTGGCCAGTGTGACCAGAGGGTGTGGACTGGGGAGGCCGGCATAGAAGTTACCCGGCACGCGCACAGGCAGCCTCCTCACAGCCGGCCTGATGCCGCGTGGCCCTCGCTGCCCTCCGGTCCCCGCTGTGTGGAGCCCACAAAGCCACTCAGGGGATCTTGAATGCAGGAGACTGGACATGCGCCCCGCGGGGCTGGGACAGCGCTGGGGCTGCAGGGGGAGCAGTGACCCCTGCCTCCTTTCCCAGGGTGAAGCCACGGAGGGGGCTCCTGCCGCTGTTCCTGGGGGTCCAGCTGCTGCTCGTGGGGGCATTCCTCTACCAGGTCCAGCGCTGCCGCAGCGTCGGCTCCCTCCTGCGCCTCCTGACTCAGGCCAGGCCCCAGGCTGGGGGACAGCTGCCCTCCATGGCCCCGTACTCCTCGCCCGGAGTCCCCCACCACGACGTCTACGCCAACCTCAGCCAGATCCGCCCCCTGGACGTCAGCCAGGACGAGCTGCCCAACTGCCCTGAGGTCTCACCCTACGTCAGTAAGCCTGGGGTGGGGCTCCTGACCTCCATCACTCAGCCTGGGGGGGCTCCTGACCTCCATCACTCAGCCTGGGGGGACTCCTGCAAGTCCAGCACTCAGCCTGGGGTGGGGCTCCTGCATGTCCATCACTCAGCCTGGGGGGGCTCCTGACCTCCATCACTCAGCCTGGGGGCGGGGCTCCTGACCTCCATCACTCAGCCTGGGGCGGGGCTCCGATCTCCATCACTCAGCCTGGGGGGGCTCCTGACCTCCATCACTCAGCCTGGGGGGGGGCTCCTGACCTCCATCACTCAGCCTGGGGGGGCTCCTGACCTCCATCACTCAGCCTGGGGGCGGGGCTCCTGACCTCCATCACTCAGCCTGGGGGCGGGGCTCCGATCTCCAGCACTCAGCCTGGGTGGGGCTCCTGACCTCCATCACTCAGCCTGGGTGGGGCTCCTGACCTCCATCACTCAGCCTGGGGGGACTCCTGCAAGTCCAGCACTCAGCCTGGGGTGGGGCTCCTGCATGTCCATCACTCAGCCTGGGGGCGGGGCTCCTGACCTCCATCACTCAGCCTGGGGCGGGGCTCCGATCTCCATCACTCAGCCTGGGGGGGGCTCCTGCACCTCCATCACTCAGCCTGGGGGCGGGGCTCCTGACCTCCATCACTCAGCCTGGGGGCGGGACTCCTTCACGTCCATCACTCAGCCTGGGGGGGCTCCTGACCTCCATCACTCAGCCTGGGGCGGCACATTCTGAAGTGCGGGGTGGGCAGGAACTGAGGGGGTGCGGAGGGCACCCCACCCAACCGCCCTGGCCTCTGCCTGTTTCCAGGCGGCCCTGTAAAGGTGACGATCCCGGAGAACCTGACGCTGGAGGTGCTGGTGAGGAGGAACCCGCTGGTGGAGCCGGGCGGGCGGTACTGGCCGCCCGACTGCTGGCCCCGGCACCACACGGCGGTGGTGGTGCCCTACCGCGGGCAGGCCCGGCAGCTGCAGCACCTGCTCTTCCACCTGCACCCGTTCCTGCAGCGCCAGCAGCTGCACTACTCTATCTACCTGGTGGATCCGGTGAGGGACGTGACGGAGGCGGGCGCCAGAGGGCAGAGGAGCAGCGCGGGGGCAGGGGAGGACCGGCCTGGGCCCGGCTGCCGGGAGCCGGTGTTGCCTGGTGGGGAAGGCAGCGCTGAACCTCTGTATCCAACCCAGGTAAACAGCACTGCCTTCAGCCGAGGCTGGCTGCGCAATGTGGGCTTCTGGGAGGCCCTGCAGGACGGGGACTGGGACTGTGTCTTCCTGCACGCCGTGAACCTGCTGCCGGAGGACGACCGCAACCTCTACACCTGCGACCTCTTCCCCGCCCACGTGTCCGTGGCCATCGACAAGTTCAACTACAGGTAGGGGAAGCCTGGCCAGGCCCTGCCTCACGTCTGCAGGTGGGGAACGCCGTGTCAGTTAGGGGAGTTGGAACGCGTGGGCGGAGAGGGGGCTCCCTCGTGGCCTGGGGGCACAGGAGGGGCCTGTGGGAGGATGCAGGCGAGGCGGGGTCAGCACGGAGCCATCTCGGGCCCCAGGGGAGAGACCGTCACAGGGCGAGCGGACGTGCAGGGCCTCCCGTGCCAAGTGCCCTTGCTTCCCTAGGCTTCCCTACCGGGGCTACCTCGGAGGGGTGTTCGCCCTGCGCCCCATTCACTTCCTGAGGATAAACGGCTTCCCCAACTCACACTGGGGCTTGGATGACGAGGACAGCGACATTGCTGCCAGGTGGGGGCCCGGGGCAGGGCGGGGCTGCGGGTCCCACCGGGATGGGGGCTGGGCCCTGGTGTAGCGGGGTCCCTGCTGGAGGAGACGAGCGTCCGGCCTCACCCCCTCCCTCCCACCCCCGGAAGGGTGAAGCTCAGCGGGCTGCTCCTCTCCCGGCCCCACCTGCTCTTTGGCCGCTACCACATGCTGGAGGGGCAGGACGCTGGCCCTGGGCACGGCGTCCAGAGGTGAGTGTGGAGGCTGGGGGCTGGCCCCGGGCGCGGTGTCCAGAGGTGAGTGTGGAGCCTGGGGGCTGGCCCCGGGCCCTCCCTGCGGCGTGGTGTCTCACAGGTGCACCCCTGGTCCCCCAGGCCCGGTGTCCTGGCCCGCATTCGCCAGAGGTGGCAGCAGGATGGCATGAGCTCACTGGGCTACAGGCTGCTCACCAAAGAGCGGCAGCCGCTCTACACGCGGCTTACCGTGGACGTCGGCGTCCGGGCCCCGGGAGCACCAGTGCCGGGCTGAGACACAGCTGCAGGTAAGGACC